TACTGAGAAGTTGGAACTAAGTAGTAAATAGCCTAAAATTATAAGGACCAGAATTGTAGTTTCAGCAAAATAAACTTTTGTTAGAAAATAAAAGTTTATTATGTTTTTCTGTCAATTAAAAGACAGGATTTTATATGTTTTCCTGAAAACTGATTTAAGTAAAGACCTGCAATTTGTTGACTTCCAAAAAATCAATTGGACTTGTAGATAATATCTAGCTTCAGCAGATATCCCCTATAGTTTGAAAAGATATTCAGAAAGAACTGAACATTTATTGTTCCTGTATGTGCATTAGCTAATCCACTGGCCATATTAATTTTTAGTTTATTCCTTTTTTAGTGCGAAAGGCTTACACTTTGTATTATTTAATTTCTTGTGCAATAGTGCTACTGTTTGGGTGTTGAAGGCTTGGAAGTACTATCAGGAGAGGAGCTTCACACACCATATTCTTTTCTAGTTTTGTTCAACGGAAACATCCTTGGAAAGCATAGGAAGCCACAGGTAATAACAGCTGTTCAGTTTGTTTGCCAGTCACAAAAATGGCCAGGTGTGATGGGGTGTCCTGCCAGAAAAATTTGCAGATGATGTTTCTGTTATATGATTTATGTATTAGTGACTTGGTGCCATTGTGTATTCCTCTTTGGTGATAGATGCTTATTTCATTCAATAATTTTTCTTAAATCTTAGCATTTTGCTGCTGCAATGAGAAAGTTGCGTAGAGCTGGGAAAATTGGGGAGTTTGTAAGTGTCTTTGTCAATGAAAAACAGGTAAATTCTTAACTTCCAAATTACTTTTTTCTTCCTCTTCTAATTCCTTTTTATAGCTGCAAACTACTACGTGTGATTCTTTTCCACTTACAAGGCATGCGCTTTGTGGGCAATGGCATCTTCAATCCCCTTTAGTGAGCCTGTAGAGGCTATTATTAACTTGATGTAGGAAGACTACTCGACTCTGATGCAAGAAACCCAATTTGTAACTTCTAACCCCATGTCAAACCTAAATGTACCAGGTTCCCAACTTTTCAATTATAATCGAGTAGAGTCAGATGATGACTTGATACTCCTCTAGTAAGATCCCTGTGCCTTAACTGAAGATACAGCTTGTCCAATGCTGAAAAAAATAAAATCCTTTCAAACCACCGCTAAATTATTTTTTCTCTTGGACCTATACAATTCCAGCTCAGTTGCCACCCAAATTTTTTTTCCTGTACAGCTGATTGAACAGCCTTATGGTCCTTGTCACTTTCCGCAATTAGAATTTGTGAAGCAAATTTGGCAACATTAAGTCAACCACCTGTCATCACTTTCCCCATTAGAATTTATGAAGCAAATCTGGAAATGCATATAATAACAATCTATAATGTTGTAGCAGTTTGAATAGAATTGTTATGTTGTTTGATCTCTCCACCTGTAATGATAGAAAGTAAAACGTTTTAAGTATAATTTATCATTGTAGTCTCCAATTCATGTTTCTGCTATTTTTTCCCTGGAACTAGTTTTTATGATTAAATACCTGACACATTTAAGAATTTTATCAGCATTGTGTTTACATTGCTTCTGATGGTGGTCGAGTTTGTCGTCCGCTAGTTATTGCTGATAAGGGCATATCAAGGGTCAAAGAACATCATATGCTGGAGTTGAAGGTGAATATACTTTTAGCTGCTTCTCCTGCCAAAATAATTGTTACCAAAGCTGATATTTTAATATCTTTTGCTTTTTAAGGCTGGAGTCCGCACATTTGATGATTTTTTAAGTGACGGGTTGATTGAGTATCTTGATGTTAATGAGGAGAACAATTCTTTGGTTTGTTCCTGTCTAAGCCTTACTTATGAAGTTTTTCATTTTGTGATGTACTTGATAGACAATTACTCAACATTCATAATTATCATTTTATAGATTGCTCTATATGAAGAGGAGGCAACAACAGAAACAACACATATCGAAATAGAGCCTTTAACCCTCTTAGGTGTTATTGCTGGTCTAATTCCATATCCTCACCACAACCAGTCTCCTAGAAATACGTACCAGGTTTTCTTGTCTTACTCTGTGATAAATTTTATTTTTTTCAGGTTACCCAAATTTCTAACTGTATGATTCTAATTGAGCCCTTTGGTCTTTATATAGTGTGCAATGGGAAAGCAAGCAATGGGAAATATTGCATATAACCAGGCAAGTGGTTTATTAGTACATGGCCCCTTTACCCCTTTGGCCAAAGAAAGAGGCCCTTCTTCCCCCTTGCTGTTTAAAGTCTTTTAGAAAAGATTTTTTTTTATGTTTCCATGGTGATCTTAACCCTTTTTTATGTTTGTTTTCCTCTTGCGCATTGAAAGTTACCAAAACTAGGTTATGTACTTTCATCGTAGGGCTCCTGTGTTCAGCCATATTTCTTGCCATTATTGATACAAGTTACAACCATAATCTTGACCTTTTTTTTTTTTTTGCCTTTTTTTTTGTAGCTACATCGAATGGACTCATTGCTTTACCTTCTGGTGTATCCTCAACGGCCATTATTGACAACAAAGACCATTGAGTTGGTTAGTATACCCTATACTCTATTTGGGTCGCTGTTGGAACTGTAGTTGGTAAATTAATCACTTTTTCTTCAGGTGGGCTATGATAAACTTGGAGCTGGGCAGAATGCAACTGTTGCTGTGATGAGTTATAGTGGCTACGACATAGAAGACGCAATAGTCATGAACAAGGCATCTTTGGATCGTGGTTTTGGTCGTTGTATTCATATGAAAAGGTACCCAACTTCATTGTCATTGGTGACTGCATATAACAATATCACAACTTTGCCGTACACTGTTGGTTGCTCAAGTGTTTAGATATTTATGGTTACTTACAGAAGATGTTTCTGAGTAGGTATTGCGCGGTGAATCAAAAATATGATAATAACACACAAGACAGAATACTGAGGCCCAATAGAGATGGTTTTGATTCTGGACCGATGCGGGTAATGCAAAGCCCTCTTCCCTCCCTTTCCTTAAATCCTTGTACCTCTACCTACATGGTGTGGTGGTGCAATTATCTTAACTTCTTATATTTGTTGTTTAACTGCAGTCTTTATATGTCTCTTCTCCAGTTCATTTTGGTCAACATCTTTATAGTTTTCTTGAATTGCATTTCTTATAGGTGCTGGATGATGATGGGCTTGCTGCACCTGGGGAAATTATTAGACGAAATGACATCTTAATAAATAAACAGGTCCCTATTGTCACAAGGGGGCAATTTAAATCTGCATTAAATGATAGGTTGGCTACTTTGTTTGCCCTGCATATTCAAACTAGGATTCTGATTGTATCATTTCCTTACACCCATTTTCTTATGCAGCGAGTTTAAGTCTGTTCCACAAAGATATGATGGGCCTCAAGGGGAATCATGTGTGGTCGATAAAGTGGCTCTTTGTTCTGATAAACATAATAACTTATGTTTCAAATTCTTAATTCGTCATACTCGCAGACCAGAGGCAAGAGATTGTTTTGTCATCTAAGATACTTGTGCTTACCTTTTAGGATCCTCTAAAATATATTTTCATTTGTGCAGGTTGGTGATAAGTTTAGTAGCAGACATGGACAGAAAGGTGTTTGTGGTACCATTGTCCAACAGGAAGATTTCCCGTTTTCTGAGCGTGGCATTTGCCCTGATTTAATTATGAATCCTCATGGGTTTCCAAGGTAATTCCTTCTTTTAGAACTACTTATCGTAAATTTCATTGTTTTATCAATCATGTGCAAATCGAGTCAATATGAGGTTTGGTCAATTACTCATTCTTGAAATATAGGTTATGTTATTAGAAAATATGAACTGCAAGTCAATTTTTTTTCAAGAGGCAGTTGAGGTGATCATTTGAAACTGATGTTAAGGATGAGTTTTCAGTGGGTCAATTCATGTTCAGGATGTGTGTCTGTATCCTCACTATTCATTATTTTGAGTTTCGTAAGCAATGTTGTTTCTGATTGATAATTCAGAAACTGCAAAGTCGTACCATTTATATTGTTTTCTAATAGTTTATTTTTTTTCAATTTCTACCGTTTCTTTTATTTTTAAGATTTCAATCTAAAGTATTCCTTAATTCATAGCAGATTAGGTTTTCCATTTCAAGGGTACCCTGCCCATCCTCTGAAAGGGTGGTTGGGCTTCCATTTCTTCAAAAATGAGAAAAGAGATTAATGAATAAAAGGATTATGAGTATATAACAGGTCCAAAAAAAAAAAAAAAAAATCCAAGCCTGGTTGTTAAACACAAATCATTATGTAGGTCTTAGGTCTCATATCATTTGGGTCAGTTGATGGATTGTATTGCATTTCAGTAGTCCTAGAAATACGTAAAAGGGGAAAATCTGAGGTTATACTATTTGGAATCCATGCTTAATATTTTTCTAGAATTTCGTGTGGAAATCATTTGAAGTAGTTCTTTCTAAGTTTGAATGTTACATTCCTATCTTTTGTTTAGTGTTTATTGATCTTCCGGGTTTCTGACTATGTTCTGCTGTAGATATCATTGGAATCTTCCTATGTGTATATGATTCGTGTGTTTTTCTTTTCCGGTTTTCTGTCAGTCGAATGACTGTAGGAAAGATGATAGAGCTTCTTGGGGGTAAATCAGGAGTGTCATGTGGCAGGTTTCACTATGGCAGTGCGTTTGGTGAACCAGGTGGTCATGCAGACAAGGTTGAAGCTATAAGGTGCTTAAATCATCTATTGTTTTGCATTATCTTCTATGTTTTTTTCCAGATTTCTTTTCTGTAAATAATTTCTCTTTTGTGATAGTGAAACCCTCGTGAGGATGGGATTTAGCTACGATGGCAAGGACTTTATATACTCAGGTTGTGGCTTTGCTTCTGAAATTCATTGCATGGTCACATGAAAATTTTATTGCCTATTCACGTGAAAATGTTTTAAAGTGTCTATTAGATCATTTTCTGAATAAATAGCTGTGTCTGATATGCTAGATGTTTTCTTGCAATGCTAAAAGATCCGAAGATTGGTTATTTGAATTTAGGGAGACTTTGGAAAAACCCATAGGAGAGAGAAATTTTGTAAAAGAAGCCAAAATGGACAAAATTGCCCTTATTTATTTTTTGATTCCCTAAGAAATCCTTTACATTTGCATGTCTTTGATTTAAAAGTTGAGAGGTTTTTCTGTCTTTTTTGAAAAAGCTTTGGCTTTTTCCAAAAGTGAAATTTTTTTTGTGGCTAAAACCTAAATTTACCTTGAATTTATAAGAGATTAAGTTGAATCCAGATGTTCCAGGCTTTATCTGATTCAAAAGAATTCATCTTTCTAGACCATCTTGGATATTGTAATTTTAATTTGAATGGACGAACAACTTACCTCATAGTTGCATTTTGGTTCTTTATGAAGTACTCTCTCACTCTCTCTCTCTCGTTTCAATCTGGCTACACAGCAACATTATCATCTTGGTTCCTCTAGTGCTATCATATCACAATTATAGTTTGAATTTTCAAGAATTTTCAAATATTACGTATTTTACTAATCTTTGAACTATTTAATATCTAGATGCGTTTGTAGGTTGTACATCAATGTGATTTTCTAAATTGAATTACATTAGCCTAAGATCATCAGCTCTCATTCATTTTCAGTCATAGTTAATATTGATAATCTACAGATGTCCATTGTGGGAACCAACGCTTAATTATTAATAATGCATTAGTTTAAGCTGGGGAAAAGTTGTAGTTATAAATTATATATACCATTGTTAAGCTCCAAATTGCTAAATTTAGAAACTACATGTAAATATATAGATGGTACTGTGGTTGCTATATCTAAACTAAAAGAACTGAAAAAGAGTGCTTTGTGATTTGTAAGACATGAGATTACAAGCTAATAATAAGTGGTAGTCTTGTGGCTTAAGAAATTCTGAAAATTACTGGACATAGATGATGCAGTAGTTTTACTTATTGGCTTAAATCCTGTAATTCTCGAGCTCTAAAGGATATGCTATGAAGTATGATTATTTTTTGCATATTTGTTGTTTATCTAAAGAATTGTATGACTGACTGTAAATGTACTTTTCTGAAACGAATAGGATGGCCCTCATGGGTCATGACTTTATGGTTTAGAACGTCAACTAGAAGCTTTATATTTAATATACTTAAAAAAGGAGTCATATCTTATGCTTCTAAAACCTAAAACAATTATGGTCTTCACTATGTTTAATTTGAATTAAAAGGAGCTCCTTAACAGTGTTCCATGTGCTTAGACAGATCTATATCATACGAAAGAAACTGTCTTAATGCATGTGTTTATCCTCCAGGTATCACAGGTTGCCCATTACAGGCATATATATTCATGGGACCAATTTACTACCAGAAGTTAAAACATATGGTGAGATTTCAATTTTCAATCATGGCTATTTTACACGCTTGTGAATCTTCGGTTCCTTCCAAAGTTATCACTACGATCGTTTTGATCTTCAATCATGGCTATTTTACGTGCTTCTTGGAAGACATTAGTTTCTTCACAATATTTACTCCTATCACATAAAACATGGCATATTTTATTTTAAGTGTATCAAACACTTTAATTATTGCGCAGTTTACATTTACGGATCATTAAAACTTCAACGTCATATTTATGATATCATATAAATACATGATGTTCAGGTCCTAGATAAAATGCATGCACGAGGAAGCGGTCCCCGAGTCAGTCTAACTAGACAACCTACTGAGGGAAAAGCCCGAAATGGAGGTTGTGATTTTATCTTTGATATATCAAATTAATTTCACGTTAAGCAGTTCTGTTTGTTCTAATGTTATTCATCTACCAGGACTACGAGTGGGTGAAATGGAGCGTGATTGTTTGATTGCTTATGGTGCTAGTATGTTGCTTTATGAACGCCTAATGATCTCTAGTGATCCTTTTGAAGTTCAGGTATTTACTGCTTGTGCTTCTTTAATAAATCTACCTTCCAGATATTTTCCGTTGCATGTCAATAAGCCATTTTATGATGTCATCCCTACTCTGCCGTCTCAAAAACCAAACATACCAACACTTACAAAACTTTTCAGCCATTGGTGGACGGTCCGAATTCTTTCAGTTTTTATCTAACTAGTTAAATACTTTTTCTTGGCTTAAAATATTTGCTATTGATATCAAATATTTAAATACTACTTCCAAAAAATAATAATAATAATAAATACATGCCTTTTTTGAAATGCTTTCTCAAATAAGTAAATTCGAAATGTCAGTATAACCCTTTTGAGTTTTCTTTATTGATATCAACATACCTTTTCTTTTACTGAGAATGTATTTTCTCAGCATCACCATACATAATGTGCCAGGATAAGTTTAATTAGTCTACCCTCTGCACGAATTTCAACAATCAAGCTCACATCCAATGGCAACAAATATTGTAGTGAGCAAATCTAGTCTTTTTATTTGACTGCACTAAAACATAATAGCCACAAACCAAAAGACCAACGCATAAATGAACCACATGATTTTATTAAAATGAAGAAACACAATGACAAAACAGTGGCGTTTTGTCTAAAACTTTTCAAAAACGAAAAAGGGAGATTTCTTCTTCGTAGTAAGAGTTTCGGGCTAACTTATTTCTTCATGGTACGCATCGCGTGCCTCTGCAACATGACATTCTTCTTCTTTTTTTTTCTTCGGTGCAATTACTTAATTCAGACCTGTTAGGTTGTAATTTTGGTAGAAATCAGCTCAGAGTGATATTGTGTCAAA